TAAAAAATTATTCCTTGATATTTTCCTTGATACTTTTTTTATAATTATTAAAAAATTTCCAATTCTTTGTTGCCAAAGAAAAAAGAAAGCAAAAAAAAAAAAAAGAAAAAGAAAAAAGAAAGAAAGAAAATTATCCAATTTCAAAAGTTTTCTCGAATATCGTTGTAACCCACTGTATATCGTCGCAGGCTTTAAGAGAGAAGTAATCTTCGTAATATAGCCTTGATATTGGACTATAAAATCTCAGCCGTTAGTATATCTGACTACGAAATGGTACGAAAGCACTGCGAAATGTGTCGTAGTTGGTCGAGGTGAGGATTTCACCCTATACATTACGAATGTGAGGAGAGGAGCTGTTAGTATGGTTACGTCGTCGTCACAGGAACAATCGTTATAGTACGAAAGGGCGCAAAACACTTTCGTAAATTACCATTCACTTTTAATAACGACTCTCGCACCCTTCCATCGTATAAACGATTGAATTTTGGTCTCCTTTCTGTCTTATGAAAGATTTACTCTCTCGATAGACTTCTCGATTGTACTCCTACGAATATTTTTTAAAAAATTTTCAACGACGTTACACGCGATAAGTTCCATTTTCTTTTTTTTTTTTTTTTGTTCTCATTCATTTTCTTTCTGCTCGTAACTTCTCGTTAAATACTCAATGAAATTCATGATTATGAAAGTGATCTAATTATAAGTCTCACATAACGTATATATGTATGTATGTGTATATATATATATATATATTCTATCGTTCCTTGGAAATTTCGTTTGAATTATTTAAAAATTATTTTATTATAAATATCACAAACGAAATATATATATATTTATTTTTTGAAAAAATAATTCTTTTTTTTTTTTTTTTTTTTTTTTTTTATTAAAAAGAATTTGAAGAATATGGCGTTACAGACATATACTTTTTAATATCTCAAATGACTTAGAATACTTTCATAGACATTTCGATACATATGTATATATCGTTCCATGAATTTACAAGCTTTATCGTTGAAATTTTCGTTAGACAGCATAAAGTTCAACTATAGATAAGATAACATTCCAATATTATTACTTCGTTGTCAGTCGACATGGATTAAACTATTTTATGATCCATTTTCTACGAACACAAATAATTTTCATCGTCATATTATGATATCCTAACTACTCTATTATATTATATTTATATTAAAATAGATAATATAACTTCAATTTGAAAAATTCAATACGCGATAACTTTTCGTGAATCTTTTTTTCTTTTTCTTTCACGTCTTATCGCAAATTATTTTATTTTCCTCGGTAATGATATTATTCTTTCCGTGTGTAGTCCCTGAAATCGCTTGGAGAATCTTTCGCATGGTGTCCAATTATTCGCGACACGATCCGGATACGAGGCACGATCGTGTTTCGGTTCGCTGAACATCGAGGCGCATAGCTTCCGTAGATACGTCACAACTTCTTATTGGTAGGTATATGTCGGTGACCAAATAACATTCTATCCTCGTCCATAGATATCTATTTCTTCTTACTTTTTTTCTTCGACGATGCTATTTTTCTTCAAGCTATTTTCTCATAGTTTATGATTCAGTAGGGAAGATAGTTGCTTACCGGTCATCTAAATCGTACCTTATAAATTTTTTTTATTATTTTTTTTTTTTTTTTTTTTTTATTGCCGTCTGTAAAAAGGTATCTAATGGCGAATATAATAAATCTATCGAAGGAATTAAATGTTTAGAAAAGGAATTCTTTCAATTATTTATAAATATACGAAATGATCGGATATATATATATATTTTTTTTTTTTTTAATTAATTTATCTAATCGATAATAATCTGAATTAAATATCAAATAGAACATATGACATTATGATGTATTAAGCGAGACAATTTTGACAACTCTACTTTATTGTAATTAATCAAATGGTAAAAAGATTGAATCGATCAATGGATTAGATTGACAATGGAGTTAAATATTTCTACGTATTAACAAAATATTGATATAGAATTATTTGTTCATTTTGCGTGTACTTCGTACACTATTTCTGTCAATTATACACTTATATATATTTTATATAATTTATAGATATATGTTGAATGATAAAATTATATGTCAGGAATTATCAAAGAAAGTTGTGATTTATTTCATTTTTCTGACTCCGCCGTATCTTTTAGAAAGGTCAAACTATATACTGTCGGTCATTATATGAATTACGTTAAAAATCTTGACTCGTAGACATATACGTAGATACAAACATACGTCAGAATGAAGCTTCATCAAACTAGTTAAAACAACGTCGATAATCTGGTAAACTCAATTGGAACCAATCGAAATATGATCGTTGTTCGATGTATTAAATGGATGCAGCTATTCAATATCTTTCGTACGAAGCATGTATGCTTTCAACGATAGATATAATAAATAAATTACAAGTTTAATATTTACATCTAATTAAATTTATTTACATTTAGTTAAAATTTATTTAAACGGCAATATTAGTTCGATATTAATTGCGATAGAATATGTATCATAAAAAGAAAGGTTTAAAATTTTTTAATTAAAAAAAAAAGAGGTTCAAAATTTAAATTTAAAAAAGATTTAAACATTATACCGAAAGTAATATCGTGTACTTAACTTTGATCATGTGGAAATTTCTATATGCTGCATCTAAAGATTAATACAGGCTAATGGTGATATTACTCTTTCTTTAATATTATTTTTATCTATAATACAAAATAATATCAAAGCAAAATTTAATTCCCGATATGACTGACCGGAATTTAATGTTTAAACAAATATAGTTCTGTTTAAATCGAATAAATAATTTATTATACCTTATGTACATTATTACGTTGTTTAAATAATTATAAAATAATTAGAGATATAAATTATTTAAACTTAATCGTATAGAAGGCTAGAGTTTCGATGTTTACTCGTCGGAATATTAAAGATATTTGAGAAAATAATAAAAAATATTAAATAATTAAAATATTAAAAAATATTAATTCGATAATTATTAAAGTCGTCGACATATTTGTTTTATTATTTTGTAACACTTATTTGCAACGATTTATACTGTAAAATTTTTATTTAAAGATTTCATCTATCTATATTTCAAGAAATGTCATTACAAATTAATAATCTTTTATTGGATTTAATACTAGCTCGTAAAATTAATGTAAAATAATATTTCAAATATGTTGATAGAATCAAGCAAGCTAATAAAATAAACAAATATTTAAATCGATGAATAAAATGAAAAAGAAAAGATAGATAGAGAGAGAGAGAGAGAGAGAGTAAGAGAGATATTTTAGATTTAAATATTTTAGGAATAAACAACGGTGAATAATTTGGTGAAAATGTAAACTAATAAATAAAGAAAAAGTTACTGATAATAATATGGAAGACTTAGAGTAAGTCTTAAGAGTAATCTCGACCGGAAGCTTTTAAACAGTCGAGTTTTATGGTTGTTACCTGTGAATTTCTCGAAAGTCTTAACTACTTTTTTCCGTCTCTCTCTCTCTCTCTCTCTCTCTCTCTCTCTCCTTCTTTCTCTCTCTCTCTTCCTTCCTTTCCTTTTTTACCTTCCACTTTTTTTCTCGTTTACTAGACTAAAGTCTCATCTCCTTGCCAGGAAACCATGAATTAATACTTTTCAATTGGGGGTGAGTATCCTCGAAGAGATGGACGAGAACGAATAAAAATGGCATTTTTATGAGATTCCAATAACATCAGTGAAAATTTAACGAACCAATTTTCTAGGAATATCGATGATTTAATTGCTTGAAATAAAAAAAAAAAGAAAAAAAAAAGAATGAAAAAGGAGCATTTCTTATTTCTTACGGTATACTAGATTGAAATATAAGCTGCTATTTTTAATGCGACAATCGTGATACTTTCTCGTACTTCATTTGTGATAAAAATGAATGAAATCGATTGAATACAAGTAAAAGATAAAAGATAAAAGATCATGGATTAAAAAGAAACAACGAAGGATGATTCTCATATCTTTTTCTTTTTTTTTCTTCTTTTTTTCTTTTCCTTCTTTTTATTGTTACAGCTATGTTAAAATGATCTTATTGACATACGATAGTACTCGATTCCATGCGACACGTACAACAGGAATGGTTCTTGAGACGAGATTTTCAAGAAGCATAATATTCACAATGAGATTTTCAAAAGATATTTGTACAAGTAGATACGTATTTGCATATTCACGCTATAAAACTCTAGCCTACTTTTGAGAAATAGGTTTTTCCATTTAAAGAATATACGAATACGATTCTTTTTCTCTCTTGCCTTTCTTTCTTCATGTTTTTCTCTTTTCTTGAAAAGTACGTTTTAAAGATACCTTCGAAAATACCAACGTGTCAACAATTTTCCCGACGAAATTCTTTAATCTTTTATTTCTCCTCCTTAAACGTTTCTCTTTTTATTTTATTTAAACTCGAATTAAAAAGACGAATTAAAATTAATTTCGTTAAAGACGAATTAAAAAATTTATTCATTTAATTTTTTTTTTCTTTTTTTTCTTTTTTTTTTTTGTGAATTACTTCTCGAACAATGATATACGTACATACGACGTACGATACAATTTTGATTCGCTGTTACGTTTAGAAAATAATGATTTCATATAGTTTCATTTGTATTTCTCGACACCGAAGAGATTTCTCATTAAAATTAATAGTGATAGACATTGACAGACGTGTGAACGTGGAGTAAAATAATTATTAATGGATATAGATAACCAAGCGTCCTAACTCGTTCAAATATAGACTTTACTCTTTAAATGGTTTTCGCTATATTATTTTCTTATGTATTTACGTACATACGTATTGATCTTTTTAATTATGTCGATTGAAACATATATACGGTAAAAAATAATATCAAGATAATATTTAAATTGCGCAGTAAATGTGTTTCATTTAAAAGTAAATAAATATACGAGAGATAATATATCGCACTGAACTAAACCGTATGTCTGCTATACACAAACTAATCTATGTCTTAAGAGGCTACATATTAAGACGATCGATAATGGTTTAACCAAAGTCAAAAGATAAACACAAAAGAATAAATAACTTTATTGTCGACATCGAACTACGTATCGTTTACTTTATATTTAATCGTGACCTTTCCAACACTTTATTTAATATTAGTTAATTAAGGATGACTTTGTCATGATGATTCGGTCAAATAACAATGCGTCTAGTCGTGCTGTTTCGTGCATTTTGAACGAACGTGACATACGTCATTGTGACGCAATATATTGCATTTTTGAAATTTATAAAGATTATTGCGATTTGCTCGTCAATGATGGATCATGGACGATCTCGAAACGAGAGATCATCAGTATAATAACTACGAGGTAAGGCAAATGTTAATAAGTTTTTTCAAGAATAATTTATGCATAGAAAGAAACAAAAAAGAAAAAAAGAACTTTTTTCAAATTTCTTTGTTGGCATAAAGCAGCATTAGCCAAAGTAGAGATAGTGAACAGGTTTAAAGGGGAACGATCGATTTATCTTTCTAGATGAGTTACTTTCTGATGAAAAATTGTAAGAATTCTAAAAGGCTATTATCATGAGAAAGATATTGTTTATATCAAGAAATATTATTTATCGTAAAATCATAATGTCCGCACGATATATAAAATAGAATAAAATTAAATAGAATAAAATTAATGAAATAATGATGCGAACGTATTGCCTAAATATTCTTTACAAAAATATAAATATTTGTATATTTTTTATTCTCAACTCGTTTGTTTTATCCTTTTTTTGAAAAATTTTCTTCTAGCAATTTCAACAATCAAAATGGACGCGTCATGAGTGCTTATTTTTTTTTTTTTTTATTCGATCGCTATACTTTCTATTTTGTATTTTAATAATTATGTCATATTCGTAGATCTTTCTTCAATACTTCTAGCTCGAAGATTTTTCTAAAATATTGAAAGATATCCAAACAAAATATCATTAATTTATAGTTGAAAGAAAACATACATATATACATACATATGCATACATATATACTGAATATATACATATATATTGAATCATATATATATATATATATATATATGATTCAATATTGCAGTGAAGATGACCGAAGAACGAAGAGATAAATCGTCTCTCACGGAAATCCTTAGCGAATAAATCGAAGTGGAAAGAAGGAGGAAAAGAGATAGGGAAGAGAAGAGTCGTCCCACTTTCAAGCTTTACGAGGACTTTGCATTCTCGCGAGAAATGCGTGCATATCGCATGGATCTTGAAGAGCCTTAGATGTAACTCAAAGGGTGGGAAAAATCTACGACGCTATCAATTGCAAGCTATACGAAAAGGTAAACGAGTACGTAGTAAAGGATCAAAGATGAGAAGAAAGAAAGAAAGAAAGAAAGAAAGAAAGAAAAAGAGAGAGAGAGAGAAAGAGAGAGAGAGAGAGTCGAGAAATAAAACTAAAAAAGGAAAAATCTGAATAGTCCTGAATGAAAGGGGAGAGGAGGTGGGGGAGGGGGAAGGAAAAGGATCTTCGTAAAATATTGAGGAAAAACGAGGTACCGTATGTAATATAAATGAGGGTAAGAGAGAGAGAGAAAAAAAAAGAAAAAAGAAAAAGAAAAAAAGGGAGAACAGTCAAAGGAACCAGCTTCGTAAAGAAGATAAAGAAAACAAGTTGTCTACATGGAAATCAGCCTTCTCACTAGCGAACGAACGCTAGCTCACAGATATCTTTCCCAGCTAGTTCGAGAACGATAACGCCTTTATTTCTCGTACATTTTCCCAAGAAGCTAAGAAATTGCTTCGCTTTATTGCCTATGATCCGGTCGAACCTGAGAAATGTTATTTATGCTACTGCCAAGGAAGATCTCGTTTTGTTCGGAATATATGTATGCAGGTACATGTTTTAGAAGCTCTAAGCGTATCCTTACTTCGAAATTTGCAAGAGTTAACGTTAACCGAACAAATCCAACTAATCTTGTATTTTTTTTATTCGATTCATTTTCCTTTCTATCTTTTTCCGTTACTCGTTCATTGAAAAATTAATAAGTTTCTCTAATAAATTTAATATCAACCATCCATTCTCTCTCTCTTTCTCTTTCTCTTTCTCTTTCTCTTTCTATATTCTCTCTCGGAAAGAATGTTTTTTATTTTCTTTTATTTTAGCTCATGATCGATTAACTTAAACACATAGAGGCCTCTTAAGCCAAATGTGTGTATATATAAGTTGTCGGAAAGATTAGCTGGAGTTATTAATAAAAAATATTAATATGAAAAAATGTGAAAAATGAAGTCAAGAAAAAACATATATACATATATATATATATATATATATATGTCATTTTGATTTTCCTTCAATTTACTCCCTAAATATTTGATTTTTAACTAAAAACGAAATAATAATAAATGGCCTAATGTTTCCTTTTTCTTATTTTTCTGTTTTTTTTTTTTTTTTTTTTTTATGGAGAGTTATTATTTTTAAAAATTGATACAACAACGAGATTGAGATTTTAATATTCATCTCTTATAGATCACATGTAAATGAATATTACAGATATTGAAATAATAATTTCATTTACATGATGAATAAAATGAATAATCATTATTGATCATGTAAACGTATAACATAATATTGAAATATCTCTTGGATCGTTTGAATTTTTGTATGTTCGGGTGTTAAATTTTTTTTTTATAACTCTTTATAAACGATACACTTCTTTTTTTCTCCATACGAATTCCTTTAATAATTAACATAAAAACCATGTACCAAAAATAGAATATTTCCCGTAGGAACAATATCCGGACTTAAGCCGCTTTTCGAATTCGTAACGAATTTTAAAAAGCTCTGATGGACGTACGTCCATTAAATTACAAATTCGTTCTCGTTATATATCGTTTCGTCAATATCGACGTTTAATCTGTACGTTTTCAGCTTGGTTTAGAATACTAAGATTAAAAGATGAATGACACCTCGATATTTTATATTTTTATGAATATCAAAAACAATCATTGTATTTATTCTTACCTTTCCTTCAAAATAATTTTTAGAATGTGCAATATATATCTACAATAGATAAGCATTTTTTTTTTTTTTAGAACGTAAGAGAAACAAAATATTTCTTGATTATCGATAAGTATCATCGAAATCGAAATACAATAAATCAATGGAATAATATTTAGTATCAATGGTAATTATCGTGATACTATATCAACGTGATTCAAAACTATTGATAAAATGTAACTAAATTGTACATAATAAATCAATATATATATATATATATATATATATATAAAATATAACAAGATATTGTGTATTGTATTAATTTATAAATAATCTAAAACAATTCAATAGCTATGGAAAAATAATAAAATTAAAAATTTCGATTACACGCAGAATAGAATATTTATTTAAATTATCGTATTTAAAATATCACTTTCTTTTATTTTTTTTTTCTTTTTTTAATCGATCGTTCATAAAAAGTATCATTTTATTATAATAAAGTGTTTGTTTATAACAGTAAAACTTATTTATATATGAATATAAATGATAAGATCGAGAATATATAATTTATAGATATATAGATCTTAGAAAATGGAATGAATCCATTTCAATAAATACGATTATAATATCCATGAGGAAACATTGCTCGAATATAAAACATTTAATATCATTTACGCATAGAATATATTAATGTATATTTTCCGTTAAGATGATAATCTGGTGTCGAAGTACCATTATGGTAGGTATGCTATTTATTGTACGCCTATTACTCATGGTGATTCGGAACGCATTGACACCACGATTATCGATTTTGACCAGCGTCGGAGACATATTTCACAAATGTTTGTGTCGTTGGCAGATAATTATTATCACTATAACCGACCAAGCGAAACAATGCTCTCGCATTTCGCGCGTCAACGGTTCGAAAACAAAACTCGATTGAATTTAGCATCGAGAAAACGCTTTTACATCATTTCGTCCGTTCCATTTTCGCCTTGATTATTCTCCGCTTCATACTTCACCGAGACTTTTCGAGTCACGCGAATATTAGCGAGCTTGATCGATTTTTTACCACTCTTTAAGAATTTCTTGGAAATCTACAAAGCACGAGAGATTATGATTACGTCGTAAAAGTAATCGCATATAAATTTTCTATTCAAAATTTCTCGTTATGAACGATATAAAATCAAAAAGAGAGAATTGATTATAGAATTTTAAGAAGTACGATATAAAATAAATCTGACATTGTAAATTATTAATAAACAGTATCTGTGTTTAAATAAAAGAATGTGATATATTCATTAATCATTAATCGCATGTTGTACGTATGTGCATGCGCGCGTGTATATGTGTTGAAATATATTGATAAGTTTAATATAGGTTAATGAGAAATTTTATTAAGAAAAATTTATCTCTGATAAGTATACAATAGGCGTATGCAAAAATTTAGTCTTTTTCTTAAATCTCGTAAAATACAAAATTATTATAATTTTTTTTTTTATCGTTTTTATTTCTTCCTTATTTAATTAGAATTTTATTTCATAGCTATACTATATATTTTTTTTTTCGTAAAAATGTATACAATAATGATCCGTCCGTGAGTATACCAGAGTCATTTGAAAAATTTACGGCTTCTTTTTTATACTGTTCACTTTAAGATGTGTTTCACTTTAAGAAAGAAACTTATGTATATATTAAAAAAGAAAAAAAGAAAAAAAAGAAAAAAAAAGAAAAAATACAAAAAGAAAAACCATGCTTCAAATTTTTTAAATGGTCTTCGCATTTAACATTTCGGAATGGAATAAATCAGGATTTGGCAAAGGTCAGCAAAAATTTTTAATGATAAAATTTATGTTTAATTAATGAGTTTTTATTTCTACCTTTGCATTTATTCTAATGGTAAAATTAAATTAATAAACGTTGCGCTTTTACAGGTTTACATACATATCCTTACAACGAGAGCACTTATACCGAACGTGAGGAAGACGAAATACTTACTGTGAAGTATGAGGATGGCAGATGGTCAAAGCCTTACTACGATTGTGGTGGTGGCAACATTTGGATGTTGACTTATACCGTTCCTTTCTTTGGATATGTTAACGACACATATTTCTTCAAGTACGTATCGAATATATTAATTACGATACATCGAACAGATGAGATAGATAGAGAGAGAGAGAGAGAGAGAGAGAGAGAGAAAGAGAGAAAGAGAGAGAGAGAGAGAGAGAGAGAGAGTACGAGGATGAAGATCAATGGGACATATTGAGCGACGTAAATCGATTTTACGTCAGCCAAAGAACGCTCTTCCATCGCGAGGACGACGTAATTACACGCACGGAAGAAGCTTTGTATGTACTAATGAATATTAAAACCTTTCTTACCTTTTCCCTTTACTGTTGGCATGCGATACTCGAGTTGCGTTAATTAGTAGAGGTTTCGAATTGCCGATTTTAATTAATGATGTTCTACGAATACAAAGATACATTTACTTGTCATGTTACCAGAGAAACATTCGAGTTTCCGAGTTTCTTCCTTCTTGAAATTTATCGTTCGACATTACTCGCACGAAAATTCTCTTGTTCTTTCTCTCTCTCTCTCTCTCTCTCTCTCTCTCTCTCTCTCGTTCTCTCGATCTCTCGTTCTCTCGATCTCTCGTTCTCTCGATCTCTCGTTCTCTCGATCTCTAGCTCTCTCCTTCTCTCTTTTCCTTTCGATCGATCGTTACGATAAGAAAAGTAAAATTGAATGTATTGATGACGAAGGACAAAGGTAAATCGATATTTCCTCGAGGTACTCGACTCAGCTCGTACGCAGCTCAGGGACAACTAAACGGAGACTGAAGCGAGCTGTTACAAGTTACGTCAAAGTTTATGACTTACTCAGGCGCAACCTTGCCGATATTGCTTCAACGAAGTTGAGTTAGCCTCCGGTAAACAAACTACTTTAACTGTTTCAAATTTTGTTAAAAAAGCAAGAAAAAAAAAGTGTGTATATGTATATATACATAGAGTAGTCTGCGTTGTCTGCTGACCTTGTAATTTTCCAAAATCTATAATACTTCCGAACATTTTTTTCTTTCTCAAGGTAACGACTTTTGTCGAAGGGTCATCGAACGTGTATATTTGTTTCTATAATAATCATTACAAATAAACGTTTATTCGTTCGAATAAATTTTCTTCATTCAAAAAAATTGCATATTATTTGTAATAAATAAAGAAAGTCGAATTATTCGATGGGTATTACTTATTATTCCTTGATTGAAATATCATGAGAAAACAAAAATAAAATAGAAACAAACAACAATAGTTAGAGCGGAACGAAGGTTCTGCAAATACCATTTGAGTCCTGTCGTTGGCCATTTGGACATTTCTTTCCAGGCACCGTTATGATGTTGAAAGTATGTTCTGTCGGTTTCGTCTTATTATTTGAAGATTTCATATTGGGAGGTTCATCAGTCTGAGAGAGCACGGGATCAACGAGATTCGTGAAAAAAAGAAGAAAAATCATGGTGGTTGCAATCAGTGCCACTGGAAAGTATTTCATATTTGTAAAGGAAACAGGTATGCGTGGGAAAATAAAATTGGGGAAGAAGGATAGGAAGGTTTTCCTCGAAGGAAAGAAAGGAAAAAAGTGAAAGTTTAATCTTTCGAAAGAAAAACGAAAATAGATTTCTTCTCTTCCTTGAGTGATTACGATGATTCGGTTCTTCTTTCTCCGAATAGCACCAACTGTAATTTAAACCATTAAATATAACGTTATTAATTATCACAAAGTTATCAATTTTAAAAAAGGATTCTTCATAACTCGTTACACTTCCGAACATAATATCTTTCATTAGTTTTAACAAATACATCAATAATTATTGTTTAGTGAATATCAATAAAGAAATTTAATGGAAACATTACACATAACGTTGAAACGATTTAGAAATTATTTCTATCGATTATTCGATTCATTTTATTTATATTTTGTAAAGAGATCAAGGCATTCCCTTTGATTTTCATCGAATGCCGAAAATAGATCGAGTATAATTAAAAGATATTGTATACGGAATTCAACGCACGCGCACTCACTCACTCACGCGCACAAACATACATACACACAAATTTCCCTTTAAATGGATTTTTCAATTGTATTGACAGAATTTGTTATACGTTTTAATCCTTAAACTTGACAATTCTTTTGTAATCAACGTATTTAAGTTCATTCCTATTTTTTTTTTTTTTTTTTTTTTTTTCCAATAAAATTACTTATCACACGGAGAATACGCGAATCATACTTGTTTCTAATTACAATATTTTTCGTAAAACAAAATCGTCTCTCGATGACGATCAAGCGTTAAGTTAATTAACTTGCACTTTCACTCGACATTCTTTTTCTCCTTTTCTTTGTTTTCTCTTTTTCTTGCTTCTTTTGATAAAAGACAATCCACGAGATACTACGTGATCGATGAATAAAAAATTTTCATATTTAACAACGAATTCTATACCTTTGAATTATCGAATAGCTTTTATACGAATGCTCGTATACGTCTTTTCTTCGTCTTCACTTTATTTCTCTGTCTTCTTCTCCTTTTTTATCTTTCTCTCTCTCTCTCTCTCTCTTTCTCTGTATATATATATTTTTTTTTGTTTTCTTGGACTTCTTATTATCGATATTATTGATTACGCAAGAATTCCTAATAAAAAAGCAAAGATGTTCCCGTCAGAGTATCTACCAACATATCTGTTTCTAGAAACGTTCCACGTTCATATTTATAATCTACTGCCGACTGTATGCTCATGTGACGTAATCTTTATCATTGCTTTGCGAGTGAAAAGTTTTCTCGGAAAGACATAGCAAAATTCGCCCTTGAATTATACACTCATACGTATTTTATATATACATACTATTACAATGTATATAGGGATATAGTATGTATATATGACATACGTATGTATATCCCGTGTTATCGGTGAGAATAAGGTCGCTTGAATTTTATGAAAAAAAAAAAAAAAAAAAAAAAAAAAAAAAAAAAAAAAAAAGAAAAAAGAAAAGAAAAAGAGAAAGTAACAGAGATTTATGTTCGTAAGTGTACAATTCGATTTAAAAAAAAAAAAAAAAAAAAAAAAAATAATACTCCATAATAGTCAATTCAAACAATTCAATTGGATATTAGAAAGATAAAACAATTCGCAATTTTATTTCAAAATGTTTTGATGCTATCTTCAACGTTCATAATATCGTTTATATACATTTGCATACGTTTTCAAGATGTGCTTTTGAAAAGACTTAACAAAGCATGTCTGTCGAGACACAAGGAATATGTCGAACAAATGTTACATTATAAAATGTTTCTTCGAAATGTTTTCAAGTCTTCTGTTTATCTCGTTATCGATTCGTATCTATAAAGATCAAATTAGATTACGTAAGAGTTAAGAATTCGATTTGTTTTAATTATTTTTTGCGATGTATAATATTATTATATTTTCGATAAATACAATGATTTTTATCCGGGAAATGGAATTTTGTTCGATTAAAAATCTAATCTTCGAACTTCAAAATTATTTATAAACTTGTTACAAGATATTAAATTTATTTCTATATATATATATATATGTATATAAATCTTTGGTAAAATTTCTTTTTAATTATGATAACGATTATCGTATCTAAGTCTAATAGTTGATTCTCTTATAATTTCTACATTATTTTTCTTTCGATGATGTTATTATTAGAACTAACAAACTTGACTTATCGTTTAAACGATACATTGAAAATGGATATCGTCGTGCTCATATAACATCAATTGTATGATTTTACGATCGTATTCTCATCACAATTATATCTTAATCGTTAGTAAGAGAATCTATGTATATCTTTATATAAATTTATATTCTTTGGATACTAGTACGCTTATAACGATCGTAAATTATGAAAGGGATCAACCGTGTTATCAGTTTTATAAATATATTTTTGGAATTTAGAAATAACTGAGGTTTGTATCTCGTTAAAAATATTTGAATTGCGATATTAACAAACGTCAGGGATTATATTCTATGAAGAACTTAAATTCCACTCCATCTTTTTCTCATATTATTATTACAAACTATTACCATCATTATAATCAGTCATAATATTAAACATTAATCTGTACGTTTTATATGAGTACTATATAGCGTTTAATTTGAGATATTTCATTATCTGTTTATATTGTACGTTACTTCAGTTATTTTCTTATATTATTAATTTTTTATTATTGATGCATTTATTAAAATAAAAGTAATCACTAAGCAAATATAATATGTAAAATTTTATTTGTATATGTGTCTATTGTTCAATATTTTAATATTATTCTATTATTATTATTATTATTATTATTATTATTATTATTATTATTATTATTATTATTGTTATTATTATTATTATTATTAGAACTGACCAATATGCTCATCCAGTAGCAAAATATTCTTCAAGAATTATGTTACTTTTCACTATAGATTTCCATTTCTTTAGAAATATAGAAAAATTAATCGTAAGAATAATATTTAAATGATGTTAAAATATTTTTTATTGATAAATATAATTTAATCTTAGTATGTTATTATTTAATTTATCTTTTCTCTTTTCTGGATTTAATATAAAAATATACGATTAAAAATAGACTGGTCTCAAGCATCCATTCGCATCGCGACGATATTGAGTTTTATCATCTTTAACCCCGAATAATGGTGCTTTAATAATGTTTCTTTTTGTACGCTTTTTAATTTCATCCTTGTTATCCTCTTCGCAAGATTCCTTTGCGTTACACTCCTCTACGGCTTCTTCATCTTCAACTTTAAGTTCCTCCTTGGCTTCTTCCTCCAAAGGCATTTTTTCGTTCAACTCGGACAATGAATTTTCTGCCATTTTAATTATCCCACGATTGATTGGTTTTTCCAACAAAAACAAATTTCCTTTCTTCTATCAAACGCAAGGTCACCGATAACTTCTTCAACAACGATAACTTCGATGTAATTCTTGTCTTCCTTTTCTTTCTCTTTTCCTCTCTTCCTTAATACCGATAACGTCCTCTTATCAAACGTTATCGACTTCACCCTGAAAATGTCGAAGAAACAATTCGTTAAATATAATCCGAGCGCAATATCATCAACAACTTATGACTATGTTTGCATAAATTTGCCTCTATATAGATAGATATTATTATCGATATTTCTCTCTTATTTATTTCCTTTATTTTTTTCTATTTACTTAGGCAATTAATTTCAATTTATTATCGATAAGCGTTAATATGCGTTATGTCCGAATTTAAAGTCAACGAAAAATTATTATACAGGCAATATTTCCCTTAGAAATCATGGAGTATTCAAATATTTCTAGAAATAAATAACAAGCGTAATATTTAGACATATTGATTTTGATGATACGATATTCTATTAATTCTATAAGTACTCACCAAAATGAGATATAACAATCGACGTTAATCGCGTTTAATTCGGTTCGATCGAATCGTACTTATTTCTTTGAAACATTGATCTCGAATGATCGCTCTCGAACGACGCAAAACTATCTGTTAAATTCAAAATAATCCTTTTACACTGAACTTCTCTTACCTTTATCGAATTGAAAGTATAAATATCGGATAACGATAAGGTTTTAACTTATCGTTTTCCTTTTAGATTATCTGTTCATATAATTTAACGATGTAATACACATGAAGATGTTTTACTTTAGTTCTAAAAACAGAAAGATCGTTCAAGGTGAAATAGCTTGATCTAATTTTGGCATAGCACTCTTTCTTTCTTTAGTTTTCTTCTCTCTCCTCTCTCCTCTCTCTCTTTCTCTCTTTCTCTCTCTCTCTCTCTCTCTTTCTCTTTCTTTCTCTCTCTTTCCAAAAGTCGAATTTATCGACAACTCAAAGTCGGCTGTGTTCAAGATACAACATTCAAGATTCGACTCGACAATACACTTCGACGGTCCTTTTCACTATCTCGTGTGTTTCCAACTGAACTGTCTCAACGAAGCGAACCTCTTCTCTGTTTAAACATTGTTTCCATTTTCTCTACGAGTATTCTACAGTGTAACTAACGATTATAACTGTGGTCACTAGACAATCTTTGTCTTTCCTAAAATAGAAAGGAAAGGAGAAAGAATAAAGGAAAAAAAAAAAAAAAAAAAAAAAGGATATGTGAACGTTCGAAAAAGTCATTAAACGTCTTTAGAAGAGTATATTTAACAAGTGATAAATAATTTAACAATCTTTCTTTATTCTAGTAATTTTAAATAGAACACGAATTTCTAATTTAATTTTCGAATGTTCCGGTTCGTAATTGGAACCAGTAGAGATCCTTTTCTCTTTTCTTCGATGTTATTAACTTTCTCGATTTTAAAAGTCAGGTCGAACGAAGGTACGACAAGCATCGAACGACCCTTCAAACGATATTAAAAGAAGATTCTGCGGTTTAAACAAAGCCTCGGTAATGAGTAATTTGTTGAAACTGATAAATGGTTTATTTGACTTGGTTTTATATATTCTTTATTCTATAATCTTTAGGAACAAATAACAAATAAACTTGTATGTGTTAGAGAGTTTAGTTAAACAGATGTGTTAGAAAAAGAGACGAGGCACTGACCCGTGATAAAATTTACCGTAACCATGTTACAAATTAGATCTGCTAACTCTCCTCTGGCAGATAATTCGTTTAAGCGTTTAAGCTCGAAAATAGTAGAAAGCCGAGTTTCGTTTGATGGCAAATGTATAGTACCTCGAAAGAGAGAGATAGATAGATAGATAGATAGATAGAGAGAGAGAGAGCGAGAGAGAGAGAGAGAGAGAGCAATTGAGCGAGTGTGTATGTGTGTATGAGAAAGAGAGAGAGAGAGAGAGAGAGAGAGGAGAGAGAGAGAGAGAAAGGAAGGAGAAAAAATAAAGGTGCGTTGTAAATGGATTTTTCAACGGGTTAACTGTACGCCACAAGACCCACATAGGTAAATCTATTCGTAGCACGATTCCTTGCATCGATTAAATTGTTAAACTATATTGTCGCTAATAAAATTTTATGAAATATTATCAGCTCGTTGAAGCTTTTCGTAAGATCAATGATTTCTTGATCTATCAAAAAGAAAAAGAAAAGAAAAATAAAAAAGAAGAAAAAAAAATAAAGAAAAAAAAAATCGTTTGATAATCAAATCTTTTAAGATAAATAAAAATATTGAAAATGATAATTTTTTAACAAAATATGAATATAAGTGAACATATTATATCTTTTTTTTTCTTTCCTTATCTTTTTTCTTGCGTCATTTTTTATCAATTTAAAATATAAAAATTAATCCGAAACATATAGCCTATTTAATCTTATTTTATACAGTCTATTTAATCCTTGATTATCTTATTCATTTATACTATTGATAGGTATCTCTATGGACTTTCTAAGCGTTATGATGATATTTGTAGACAGATACTTCGGTTGATGACATAGTTGTTTCCGAGAACACGATCACTGAACCCACGAAAGGAAATTAATCTAAACGAGACCTAGTTTTCGTATATTACAAAGTGAGGTTGACTGTCTGAACGATGATAGACGTAGTATAATAATATAACAATATATTCTTATGATTATTATGATATATCGAGTTTACTAGTTATTACTACATACTACATACCTTGCATATTGAAATGTAATATTGCGATTTTGGGACATTATGTGTTGCTACTTGAGATGTTATTTCGCGACTGACTATTCAAGACAGTAAGACATT